TTTTTTTTTAAACTATGTACAAAAGATTAAAAAAATTACAAAAATCTAGAAAAATTGTTCAACTATTTGATTTAACAGAGTAAGAAAGTATTGATCAAAGTAAATATCGATTTTTTTTAATCTTTGAATTTGATGACCGATAATAGTTGTCATCTTTAGCTAAAGATGGAAACATTGTCGTTCAATTTATGTCATCAAGCGATAAGATATAAGATGCTAAACAATACAAAGACGATAAAATAATGCAGTAATTAGGATTGGAGGAATTAGTACCTTTCATAAGAGGGATTTCGTATCGAAATTTATAAAAGAAGAAGATTATCTTCACAATTGGATGAACTCTGTGTCATTAATTCTTGACTCTGTAGATTAATTTGATTGATTGAAGCTAATTTTCTTCTTGAAATAACTTATTGATTTATATGTCAAGCAATAAATTTCTACTCTAATTAGTATGCTTTTTAAATGTCTTTTAAATTGTTATCTCGCCAAAACTTTTGTAAACTGTATAAAAAAACAAAAAATCGATTTATTCTATAAATTATTATTAATTTTTCGATTCATTTTTAAAATATTTGAAAAAATCATTACATTAATGATTCCAGTATACTGTACTGTACATAAATAAGATTAAAACAACAGTTTCTTATTAATGGAATATAGTTTTATATAAGCACATTGGCTTAAATTATACTTGATATAATGCTATTTAATCATGATTGCAGAATATAAAATAATAGTTTCTTTCGATTAAATGTAAAATAAAAAATTAACTAAACTCGACAGTAAAAGCTACAGGTAAAAATTAATATTGAGAAATTATAGTAATGAAACTTTATTGGAAACTTATTAGTGAAGGATTAATAGCTGCGAGTTTTTACATGAGATAATGCCAGAGTACTCTGTGTTGATGTATACTTGTTTTATTGTTAATAAAATACGGTATTTAAAAAAAAATTAACAGGTTAATGCGAGATTGAGATTGAGATTGTAGAATGAAAACATAAATTAATCAATAATTAATAAAATTTAATAAATTTAAAAAATAACGAGTAATGAAATATTCAACACAATTTTGATTTTTATATTCATTTTCATCGGTAAAGATAGATGCAAGCTGTTTTTTTCAAAATAAATACATAACAGTAATAAAATTACTCCACTCCCCCTTCTTTCATACTGAAACAGGAAAAAGTTTTAAATTTCAAATGAAACTCTACAGAAAAGTGTATTTTCTTAGTTCTATAGAAAAAAAAACAAGACATTTTTATCTAAGGCGTATTTCATAAAATGCTAGTATTATTTTGAAGCTTTGAGTTGATTCAAATTGTCCATTCTTTCCTCTCCGATCGTGCGAATGACTATAAAATATGTACCACTAATGACTAGTTTCACCACCCTTTGTTTAAATAGCACTTAACACACCGTGTTCTAACGACATGTCAAGAAAATTAAGATTTCATTAGGAATTTTCATTTTACCAACTAAATTTAACGAGCCTTTTCCGAACATCTTTCTGCTGTGGTTTCGGAAGATAGCTTTTTAAAAACATACAAGAGAAGTATGCTTGATGTCATTAACCGATTTAATTAAATATGGTATCCAATGAAAGATAATTACGAATACAATCATATACCAAAATTATGATCTGCAGAATACAAGTATTAAACGAGTAATGGATCATTAAAGTTATCGCGATTAGAACACTTAAAGATAAATTCGTTCAATATGTACGGAGTGTTTCAACGAAATCCCATGTTAATTAATGTATAAAAAATGTCAAAACTTTTTCTTACAGATCTAAAACTGTGCTCGTGGTGATCATATCTGGATTTACTCTGGTTAAAAAATCATGGAAGGGAATTGGGGAAGAAACGTTCATTATCTCGAATGGATTTTTCAAGTTTTTGAAGTTACTACTTATTGAAGTTTGACCCTTGAGTCGTGAGTTAGATTCAGTTATGCATGGTAACACATTTTCGTCAATACTTCTTAACGCTTGCTTCTAAATATATGATGTCTTATTAAGCTAATTACATTTACATATACCTGTAGTTTGTTGAAATCGGTTAGTGACATCGATTGTACTGTACTTCCCTCGTTATCTCTATGACGTCAAATATCTTTTGTGACTAGCTGAACACTTGTAATGTGACTGAACCAAAATAGAAACGAATAAAAGTTTCAAATTATAAAATGTGATTGTTGACTTCATTCAACACTGTAAAAGTATAACTGTATATACGGACTAATGAGTTAATGTTTTAATTAAACGAAAAGAAAAACGTGGGAAAATTTACGCTCGATTTTATCTCAATCTCACGGTTTATTAAAAGAAAGGCAAAGTAATCAAAATCCAAAAGTCGAAAAATTCTGTCTGAACGAATAGTTTTTATGGTTTTATATTTTAATATACTTGGCGTATGATAGGTCCGCATTAAACTTATCGTAATGCGCCATCTTAATTTTAACTTAATGAATCTTTAGAAACTTTAAAGTGACATCTTTAAAATAACGATCAGATAACGCTTTGTTTAACGAGGTTGTTGAAACAAATTCACTAAATTGAATTAAATAATTTAAATAACCTAAATTAAATAGGTTTAACGCATTCGTTATATTTTAAGGGAGATTGGTAAAACCGGCGATAAATCTCAGAAGAGAAATGTCATTTCAACAAGTTGATGCTTTACCATATTTTTCCAGAGATATACGTATGCTATTAAACCAGGAATTTGGTGACAAATAGGTCATGAAGGACTCGTTTATCTCATCTCACATCTCTCGATTACTTTCTACGAGAATAAGTCGAAGAAACAGTGATATTTCTACCATTTATAACAAGAAAAGACAAGAGATAGAGAATGCCTGTGCTACAATGATCATAAAAATACTATGTAGAGTTAGAGAAAGTTTATAAAAGTATAAATAAATAGTGAATAATTTATTATTTATTAATTAATATCAACAAGCACACAAAATAGTGTAATTATTTAATCGCTATTTGGAACTCCGCAATAAGGAATTACGAGATACCTAGATTTTTGTATGGAGCAACGCATTAAATAGTTCTATTATTGTTTTATTAAATAGTTCTATTATTGTTTTATTATGGCCTTATTACAGATGCGTATGAACAGGCAAACAAAAGATATTTTAAGTGTAATGCTGTATTAGAATTTTGTTTATATTTATGAAATTTATTATATTAAAATACGAATGGATGATCACAAAATAAATGCCATAAAATGTATCCTAAAAAACAAGTCCTCAAAATGTGAAAACATTGACATATACTTTATTCTGTGAGTAAAATAATATAAAAATTGAAACCACGCCCTTTTACCACATACAATTCTGAAAATAAAACTTAAATAGGCAAAGATTTTAACCAGAAGTCTGGTAGAAATTTCAGCTGGGATTGGTTTAGAAATGTAACAAAAATAATTATAAAATGTCAATAATAATAAAAGATATTGCTTCTGAAATGAAAATGTAAATTTAAATATTTTGAAATAAGATTTAAATGCTACTATTCTACTTACATATAGGAATCGAGTCTATGTCAAATAATTATCATTAATTACACCACTTGGAGACACAATTTTATAATAGTAACAAACCACAATCGAAATTATGTTCGACTCCTAGGACAATCACTGGGTTTTTGATAGTTTTTGAAAATTATGTAACATCATTTGCCAATTATAAATATGATGATGAATAAGAGGATACTTTACAATAAGGGATATCCCTTATTGTAAAGTACCAGAGAGTAATTAAATCGAGACTCGATGACGTTTCGAAAACTCTACTTTTGTGTCAACTCTTTCATAGTCGTACTCCTCTGCGAGTTGTTTAAAATCAAAATCAATATTCATATTATATATCAGTTTCAGAAGAGGAGAATAGAATTTTATAAAATATGAATGTATTTTTAATGAAAGTAAATATAAAAGAAAAATGACNGCGCCACATCACTAGCGAAAATTTAAATTTGCCAACTGGCATGCTTTCGGATAACAGACGTTTCGGATAACCAGCTTTCGGATAAACGACGCTCTACTGTATTAAAAAGAAAAAGTCAAATTTCTTCATGTAGAAAATCATAAAATAAAAAAGAAATTTGAGTTTTTACAATACTTTTTATATTTTCGTAAGGTTTAATTGGAATATTTTTCATCATAAGAAGAAAAAATATCAGGTTATTTTACATTCTGATTCTGAAATCATTATTTAATCTAATTTTCTGTATTACTAGTTATAATTTAACTGCAATTTTTATTATTTAAAATCTTTTATAATAGAATTAATGAAAACGTGTGTAAAAATATAAAATCTCTATAGAACTTTCCATCAGTTATCTCTACGTGCCTATGTTATTCTATCAACTAATTTTAATTTTATATCTTATATTATCTTTGATTCCTTTAACATAGGAAATTTTATTTCATAATTTTTAGTAAGTTTAATCTTATTTTTATCGTTCTAGATGATGATTTATAGGATTTTAGACGTATCATTTTATATTGAGAGAATGATTCGTATGTAATGTTTACTACAGAAGAATAAGAGAACAATATATTGAAATTTTATCTTAACACAAGTTTAATGTTTTAAAATAAAAAACCATTTATCTACCCATTCTTAAACATAGCTTTAGGGCGTCATCTATAAAAGCTTAGTTTCGGATCTGCATCCTTTAAGTGATATAGATCATGATAAAAACATGCTTTGTTTTTTGTGTTTATCCACGTTAAAATTTTATTTTACAAGAAAGAAACAATGTGAATAAAGTGGGACACTTTATTTACATTGTTTCGTTTTTATATTGAAAAAAAATTCGAATAATTTGAATACGATTCAACTATTTTCAATATGATAAGGATGAACGTGTACTTGAACATTTGGTATATGTTTACTTTAGAAAAATAGCTTAATTTTTCTTCTTTTTCTTCTTCGCCTTTTCTCCTGTACATATGGGGTCGGCGTTTCCTTCTCTAATACGTTTTTTTCCATTTTTCCCTATCAAGGGCTTCTTCTCTCTTAAGTCCCCTCTGGTTCAAGTCTTCTTTCACCTTATCTTCCCAACGCATCTTTGGTCTTCCTCTTTTCCCTTTTCCTTCTATTACCAGTTTTCCGATCTTCTTTCCATCATAATTGTCGCTTCTTCGCTCTAAGTGGCCAAACCACCTCAACCTGCATTCTTGCATCTTTTTGCTCAAGGGGCCCACCTTAACAGATTCTCTAAAAATTCATTCCTTATTCTATACTTCCTTGACACTCCACACATCCATCTCAACATTCTCATCTCCGCCACCTCCATCTTTCTTCCTTGGGCTGTTGTTATTGCCCATGTCTCCGCTTCATATAACATTACAGGTATAACAACTGATTTATAAATTTTCCTTTCAGATTGCAGCTAACTTTCTTGTCGCGTAATATACCGATGAACTTCCTCCAGTTCATCCATCCATATTTAATTCTATGCTGCACCTCCGAGATCAATCCTCCTCCTATCTCGACAAATGTCCCAAGATATTTAAAACTCGGAGCCAAAGGGAGCGGCACATTTTTGATTTTAATATGCTACACTTGTCTTTATCATTCAGAGCCATATAAACTTTTTTAGTTATGCTAATCTTCATGCCTCTTTCTTCCATAACTTTTCTCCAATCTTCCAGTTTCTTCTCAACCTTGGTTTGAGAAAGATCACATAGCACAATATAATCCGCAAACAGCTCCACTGAGCCTCTCCTTTCACATCACACAATAACACGTCCATTATCAGGTCAAACAAATAAGGACTAAGGGCCGATCCCTGATGCTAACCAACATTAACGAAGAACCCTTCTATTGTGCCCACACTTCTCTTAACTTGGGTCTGTGCTCCCTCGTACATTTCCTTGACGAGCCTAACGTATTTTTCTGGAACATTCTTTTCCCTCAAACATCATATCTCTTGCTTTGATACCCTATCATACGCCTTTTCTAGATCTATGAACACCATGTGCAAATCTTCCTGCATTTACCTGTGCCTTTCCACCAGCTGTTTTAGAGCAAAGATAGTATCAGTCGTACTCCTTCCCGGCAAAAAGCAAAACTGTCTTTCTCCAATCTCAGATTCCTTCCTAATCCTTCTTTCTACAATTTTCTCCCAAATCTTCATAGTATGGGACAATATCTTTATACCTCTGTAATTTCTGCTATACTGTACATCCCCTTTACCTTTAAAGATCGGTACCAGAATGCTCTTCCTCCAATTATCTGAGATCTTCTCCTGCTGCCAGAGTTTCTTCATAAGGTCCCAGAGGATATCAATTCCTTTCTTACCCAAACCTCTCCAAGTTTCAACCAGAATCCGATAAGTGCCAACTGCTTTCCCCATCTTCATTTTCCTAAGCACACTTTCCACTTCTTTGCTAATATCTTGTACGACTCCTTCATTTTCCTCTCCATTCTCGTATAAAGTTCTGGGGCTCTCTTCATTCAATAAATTTCTAAAAAATACTTTCCATCTTTCCTTGGCCCTTTCCTAATCTTGTAATACCACTTCTTTATCATCTTTAATCAGTTTAATAGAGAAAAAATCTTTTGATGCCTTATCTCTTAGTCAACTTCAAAATATACTTCAGAGTCAGTTAAATTTAAAACTTAATGTATATTGAAAACAAACGTACGTACAGTTACAATTAAAGTTCACATATAAGAATTACAAACATTAGATATTAACAAAGTTCAAAGTAATCATCCACTGCAACAGGTCCGTCGGAAAAGCACCTTGCGACGTACAAATTCAAAGTCCACAACAATATAACAAGATGAGGCAATCTTCTAAACAGCTTAGGCGAGCTAAGGTCAGCGTGAGTTCACTTCCAATGTCCGAAGCCGAACTGAACTTCCCGCCAGAACTTCTATGCTTTTATAGGATTGAAACAGCATTGGATTCCACCAATTAGCATTTACCAGCTCTATAAGACGTCCGCCGATGGTCTGATGTCTTTTAGCCAATGAGCAGTCGAGTTTTCAAAATGATCTGATCGCCGTATCTATGGCGACAACGGTCGTTCATAAAAAGGCGGGAAAACTGAGTGCCAGACGATTTTTATATCCCGACACTCTTGCTTTGGCAATTCTCATCAAAGGTGGTAGCTATTGCGAAAGCAATAGCTACCACCTTTGATACCTTTATAGTCATTTTATGACACCTTTATAGTCATTTTATTTGCCAAATGGTAAGTTTCTTTATCTTCAGGCCTTCCCATGAAATCCCACTTTTTCTTTCGTTTAACTGCGGATTGTACCTCAGCATTCCACCACCAAAGTTCCTCTCTTTTTGGCGGTCTCTTCCCTGAAGATTTTCCCAAAACCTCTTTTCCAACTTTCAAAATGCAATTATTATTCAGCAACCACCATGTTTGCACATCACATGGGAACTGGATTTCTTGTAACACTTTTACCTTAAACTCTTTCCTTAATTCCTCCTTTTCTTTCAATCTCCCCAATTTGATCCTTTGTTCAATCTGGCTAACACAATTCTTAAAAATGACCCTTAAGAAATTCACAATCCACCAAGAGAACTCTATGCTGTGCAGCAACACATTTTCCATTTGACACCTTACTGTTTCTCACTTCACTCAGATGTCTCCTGCGGCACAAGAAAATATCAATCTGGCTGGATCTACCTCCACTCATATATGTAACCAGTTGATTCCCTTTCTTCTCAAAGTAAGTGTTAACTAGCGCAAAGTCAAAAGCCACAGCATGATCGACTAGTCTTTCTCTTTCTCCATTCTTTTCTCCTATACTCCACCTTCCAAGAATTCTTCTTTCCGCATTCTTCCTCCTCCCAACATGACCATTTAAATCGCCATCATAGATTAATCTCTTGTTTATAGGAACACACATTATAACTTGGTCAAGATCTGTCCAAAAGTTTGTCTTTTCTTCTTCTCCACTACCTGGCTCAGGAGCATACACACACACAATCGTAATGAAAATTCCGCCAACGTCCAACTTAATACGCTCATAATTCTATCACACCTTCGTTTAACCTCACAGACTCTGTCTTTTAGAACTTTATCAATTACGATACCAACTTCGTTCCTTCCTCCTTATTCGCTCCACTCACAAACAGAGTGTAACCTTCACCAAGTTTTTTAGCTTTATTTCCGTTCCATCTTGTCTCTTGCAGGCACAAAATGTTCACTCTCCTTCTTTGCTTAGGATCAACCAACTCTTTACTCTTCCCATTCAATGTTCCAATGTTTAAAGTACCTATTCTTATACTTGTCTTCTTCCCTTTCTCTTTCTGGACTAACTTCTTTATCCGAATTCGTCCTTGGTTCGGTAGCGCTAGCTCATGTGACATAGTTTTCGGGAGACATGACTGCGCATCGCTTTGGGGAGACGTCCTAACACAGTTATAACTTATTTGTAGTCTAAGAGATATTCCATGTAGTTTTGGCATAGATTTTATGGCCGGATGCCCTTCCTGACGACAACCCTATTTGTTATAAGACTAAATATATATATATATAATTTGTTCTAATATTCAAACCACAGTGGTTATCAAACTCCGTTCTATTCAAATTCGAATTTAACGAGTTTCCATATCTTATAAATATGTGACTATTATTATATATGATCTTTGTCAATTTATACATCTATTTAAATTATTTGTTCTTTAAAAATTAAACAATGCAACAATCTTCTCAATAACTATTCATGACATTGACGTTATTAGATAATCACCAATTAAGATCAACAAGAAGGGTACAAGCTGTTTGAAAAATAACGTAATAAATGGAAAAATTTCAGAATAAAATTTCGTTAATTTTATGTAATTATATTTATTAATTTCTAAAAAATTAAATATATTTAATTTCATTTATTACGTTGCATGTGTATTAGCATTTTGTCTTATACAATTTAGAATATTATGGTGAAAGGCAATCTTTTTAAAAATTTTAATGTTTAAGTTTATAATTAGTATAATTTTATATTTTTCTGTCCTTTTTTTAAATTAAATTTTCTGAAATAATATTTATTTCTTTGTTTCTATTCACTCTCTTTCTTATTACTTCATAGCTTTGACAGTTTCATCTTAGCATTTATGAATTTTCTTTTGTTTACCGTCCAAATCTTTTAAGCTCTTCATAAATTTTGAAATGTTTCTTCAATTTCTATCGCTAGTTTTCAACTTTTTTAAAAAATTGTAATAATTTTAATGATTCTTAATCAGATTAATGTATTTAATTCGCTCAGTTTGTTTAGTAAATTTCAAATATAACTGTTTTATAGTCGAACAATTTTAATTTATTTATAAAAAATAAAAAAAAGTTTTAAACTTTAAAATATAAATATTAATTAGGATAGCACTTTGAAAGTGTCGTGTATTAAATTTAAATTTCATGAAAGTATCCGTGATTTTAAGTAGAAATCTGATCGTGTCAGGAAATAAATTGCATAAAAATAAAGTTGAAGCCATAATATTAATTATTTATGATAATTTAATAAAAAGCAACTTTATTATAAAGAAAAATTTAGAAATTATTTAAATATTTAATTAATTCTTAAGTAGTAAGTCAAGATTTACGTTTCCTAAACGTATCAGAATTCAAAATGTTTATAATAGAAAGAATGGTTTATATCGTACATCTGTAGCATTATTAATCATTATTTAACATTAAAATTGTGTGTTAAGTTTATAGAATTGTGAAAAATTACTCGATTTAATATGTTTCTTTTATGCAAATTGAAAACATAACAAATACAGAATGGTTCGAAAGTTATCTTTCAATAGTTAACAATTCTAAATGCTTAACACTTGACAAAATAAAAGCATGTAGTCTTTACAAACTACAAAAATTAATCTAAATGACATTCTTTTTGGTCACTATACAAGTTAAATTATAAATTTGTGAAAATCTTTTAATAGTTTGTTTGAGTGATTCACACGGTTAACTGATTTTTGAGTTACGATATGTCTAAATAAACTGATTAAGAAAAAACAGTTTTAAAAATTTTAGAAAATAATTGTAAAAAGAGAACTTTTTTATAAGGTCAAATAACGAAAAGATTAAGTATAAAGATAATAATTGAGCAATATTTTAAACACATTACAAAACTTTTATTCAAAACAGTTTGCTTGTAATTTGTAACTTGTAACAACTGTAAACATTTTATGCAACAGGGCCTGGTCGCTAGCAAATCGTGACGGGTTAACTGATTAATGTGGGATCAATAAATGACAAGGGATTGGTAGAAAATTTATTCTTATTATAATGTATTTATAATAAATTTAAATTATTGTTTAAATACTGAAATTAAAATATGAAAGTTTAAAAACTTAAGAAAAGCAAAAGGATTTTCTTGTAAAATTGAAAACTTAATGTAAATAAACCGAAAATCAATATTGTACTTGTTTCGCTTAAAATAAAATATAATTTACTTAAAAAATTACACTTGGAATATTGAACAGCAGCGTAAAACAGGTTACGGTGATACTGTAAATAATAGAAAATTATAATTTATAATACAAATCAGCAATTATTTATTATGGTATCCTCATAATGTCCAGCTGAAATTTTTCGTCACAATGCTCTCAATTTTAGTAGTGTCTTGCGCCTGTACATCATGCTTTTCCTTTTAACAGTGCAATCATGCTGGTCATCTATCTAATTCTGTTAAGGAGAAAATTTTTGAATTGAAATAATATTACTTCCGGTCCAAACTAGCAGATCATGTACAGTCAGTTCCTCCTGTTTGTCAGGTCTCCAAAACTGGTCTCGAGTGTTATTTTTGTACATCCATTTTTAGGATTAAGGAAGGACAGACAGATGAACAGATGGATGCCAATGGGATTTTATAGGTCTACAAGCTCTACAAGTTTTGAATATTGTAGCACAATAACGTTCATTTATTACATACTATCTTTAAATTTTACCCGAAGCAGATTTTAATTTTGGATATCACAGATATAATAAATTAAATAATTTAATTAAAGTATTTCTCTTTTTAGAATTGAAAAACTTAAATATTTCTTTAACTTTCACATTTCCCTCAACAGCAGGAAATAATTAACCATTTAATAGCTTTCGTGAATTTAATAATTATTGAATTCATCTTTTCTTGCAAAATTTATTAATATTCAATTAGCTTATGCTAAAAACAGCTGAAAAGTGAAAACTTTAATTAATACGATTAATTTTCTCTATTGATAACAGTTTAGTTTTTATTCTAATTTTATGAATAAGTATACAAAATATAAATCTTTGAATTTTTTGAAATTCTGAATTCTAATTTAATAAATATTTAATAATTTTTAAAATTAATATCTATTTATTGTCGTAAAAATATTCTCTGATATGATTTTACAAGTAATTTTTATAAATAAGTAATTCAAGTTATAATAAGAAAATAATATCATTTAGTACTTTATTCTTCTAAATTCTAAAAACAATAGAATTTATCTACAAACTTCTTTTTGTAGTTAAGATATTTCATAAAGAAAATTTCCATTTCTTACACATTTGACAATTCAGCAACAGAAATAAAATTAATATAATTTCAATAATTGAGATATGATTTTTTAGTTGAAAGTAAGGGTTCTTCCTATACTTCTTGAAAACATAAATTGTCATATATACTTCATCATATTTATAATTTCAGCAATATTTAAATTACTTCTATGCCGTTTATTAATGCAATATATTGAAAAATGTATATAAAAACTGTAAAAATGTTTGCGTATTTTGTCATTTATTTCTTTGGTAAATGTGTGGAGAAATGTGTTTGTAAAAAATCAGTAGTATAAGGCTTATTCCCTAGAGTGTTTTCGAATCATATCAAATCTTCATCGCATTTCCTTTGATCTCTTTCATCCTGAAAAGATGGTCTACATTGAGATTTGTGTTAATTCTAATCACATAATTTCCTACAATGTTTAATCCTTAATTAGTAAACTTTATACTTCCTTCCATAAATATAATCATTTATATTTTATGATAGTAAATTATAAAATCTATTGGAAAAAATGTATATACAGTAGAGCGTCGTTTATCCGAATCAATTGGGGACTGGGGTGGTTCGGATAACTTATTTTTCGGATAACGAATCATGTATGAAAAAATATATTACTTTATCCAATGTTGAAATTTTTCTCCGTTGCGTGTCGCTTCGCGTTGAATTTTCGTCGATGTTAAGCCTAACGAAGACTATTGTATCGTTAAAAATTATTTTTTTATTTTGTACAAACAAAATAAATATATTGAAAAATATAAAAACAATAAAAAATTATACTTCAGATGTTAATTTAGTATCAAAAACGTAAAATATTTGAGTAGCCCAANTTTTTTTTTTTTTTTTGATTCATGAGAATTTCAAGTTGTACAAAATCTGCTTTTGAAGTATGAGAACACTAAAGAAAAGGAAAGAATTTTAAGAATTTGACATATTATAAATCGTATCAGAAACAGATGTGTAAATCCCTAGTACAGTTTTTGATATTCAATAACATGATTTTTGTTTCCTTTTACTATTTTCCTTTTAGGCATTTTCTTGGAAAAATATTCAAATTGAAAACACAAAGCATATAATTTTTTATAATATTAAAAAATTATATTAATTACTTATATAAACTTAAAATGAAAATATAACTTTTTTTCATAAATATATATTTTTTAAAATTGAATTATATTTTTTAAGATAATATTTTCTTGTGTAAAAAGCTATTTTTTACATTTGCAATTCCTACTTCAGCTGTAGGAAGTAATAAGTATAATTAACAATAGCTGATTGTAACGATTGGGGACATCAAAGAGTATTCAAATGTTATTTAGATTAAACACGTTTACTCGTCTGTATTTTGAGTATATATATATATAATGATTATAAACTCATAATAA